ACAAAGATAACATGGTTCGTGTGATGTAATCTGTGAAAACATTTTATGTATCCTTTGAGTTGTAGAGTTTAGTTGGACAGGAATGTACAGTATGCTTAGTGCTTACCATGAGCTCCTAAAAGTAGAAGTATAACATGGTTCGTATGATGTAATCTGTGAAAACATTTTATGCATCCTTTGAGATGTAGTGTTTAGTTGGACAGGAATGTACATGTTTAGTGCTTCCCATGAGCTCCAAAAGTAGAGGTAAAACCAGTTCAGGATAGAGCTTAGTCTCAGTTTCAGTGCAGTAGATAAAGATTTTTGTAGTTGAATCAAATGTTGTTTCTGTGGTTGACTTAAAAATGGTATGTAGATTAGGAATGTTTATTTTCTTAATAAATAATAGTGTATACATTTATATTGCGCAAATTATGGATACAGGTATGTTCAAATGCGCATCACAATTATTATCCCTGTTTATCAGGAGTGAGACTGAGATCAGCGCAATCTGGTCTCTACCTTCACATGTTCCCATTTATACTCCTGGGTGGAGAGAGGCAATCAAAGTAAAGTGCCTTGCCTAAGAACACAAGCACCATGTTCCCTGTCAGGATTTGAACCCATGTACCACGGCACACGAGTCGAACACCGTAACCATTGGACCACAGCACCCATTCTTATTTCATAAAACATGACTTTGCTGGAAAGGCTGTATGCTGAAATTTCTGGCAATTTTCCTGAGCTGTAAACGGGAAGTCAGGGGGGACCGTAAGTAATGGCAGTCCATTTAGCAGCCTCTGAAAACGGTTCAATTATGGATAGCCGGACCTAATGGACTACGGCCATCAATTCCAAGGACCTTGGCAGCAATTTCCTCAGACATGCATGCTTAATTAGTTTAGTTTTCTCATCGTCATGGTTTTCAGCGATATTTAGGGAAAGAGAATTAATAATTAGGATTTTTTAATGCTGTGGGAGAACCAAAAATGCACATTGTTTTTGTATTTTCAGTTTTAACTTTTGTGGAAATGTACATTGTATTTTGATTGTGAAGAAAAGAGCTAAGGTAAAAGCATTACGTTTGTCCAATTAGAACAACTTTTAATTGATCATTTTTAAATTTTTGTGTCTCACATGATCATCTCACTTTCTTAAATAAATGTATTGAATTTGCACCACAGTTCTTCGGGTAAAGGAAGGGCATTTGTTATGTGGAGTAAATCAATTTTCAAATTGAAAACTCTAATATTCAGGCATAAGATTTTACAGACTTGTGTCTGAAATCAGTCTTTTTGAAGCTGAGACATTATCGATATAGAAAGCAATGCATCTTTCAGACCTTTTATCCAATTTTCAGACTTATAAAAAAAAAACTTATCTCTGAGTATAATAAGTTATTTTGAAATGAAACACAATAAATATTATCTCAAACTATTAAGTGGAAATCATATTAATTTGTTTATGTACAATATCTTGAAAAAAACCCTGAACACCCAAAATGAACAAATATAAATTTGACTTGGATAGATCAGGTAATGCATAAATATTACGTAAAATTTCAAATATTAAACTTCTTCAAATAAATTAACAGGGAAAATAAATTGGTTGGCGTAGGGGTTCATTCCCTGCCCTCCACCTACTGTGACCCGGTTTCGATTCCTGCCTGGGCCAATATGTACATTGGGTTTTCAGTCCCTGCCTGAGTCCAGGGGTTTTCCCCAGAATATGCCTCTGGGGTTTTCCTCCCGCATCTAAAACAGTAATTTCTTCACATTTTCTTCTCTTTACTGGGCCCCATGGAGACCAGTGGATTCCACTGAATGGGCTACCCAGTAAAAAAAAGAACAACAAAAAAAAAACGTCAAATTTAGGAAATATTTATCTGTGGAAAATATTCATAGTGCTTCAAACCATGGCTGAACCTTTTCAGAAAGAAATGAAATGTTTAATTATGGATACATTATTCTGTTTCTGTTAAAAAATTACAGCCACTTTAATCATTAACTGGCCCACCAGGCACCAGCGCCCCTCCCTTGGTCCTTGCAATTATTCAAAGTAATTATTCTAAAGCAAACAGGCACCAAATAACCCCCAACGAGGTTAACGTGCAACGACTGGCGTGCAAATTTGACAAATTATTTACAACTGCACAGCACCTTCGTCTTGCAAAAAATAGCACTACTGCCCTTTGGACATGCTGGCATGTGTACATTTTTATGTGTTGCTGATAGCGGTTTGACATTTTCGAAAAAATTATTCATGACACATTATACAGTTAGTCTTTTGCTCGGGAAGCATAGTGATCTGAATGCGAGAACATGTTGCACCGCGATTCTGGCACGAAGCGTGACTCCGGAGAATATCGGAATTTGTATACGGATGTTGAAAGTTAGTGTTAAAGAGGTTGTGGAATGCTCGAAGACATTTCTGTCATTTTTCGGGTATATGTAGCCTAAGGTGTGATGAAATAAAAACGACTATTGTTTCTGTCATGAAATGAGTACAAAAGGTACTTTTGAGAGCTGTTTTTCAGGTCCAGTTTTGACCAGAACGTGCAACTGTGTAATGTCGTCGTTGGGGGCAGCAAACAAAACATAGTAAATCGTGACGTAATAAACAGGACTCCTGATGTAGCAAAGTATAAATGAGTCCTGTTTATTACGTGTACGTCACGATTTTCTATATATACCCGAAAAATGATGGAAATGTCTTCGAGCATTCCACAACCTCTTTAAGAGTGCAGTCATTATTTGTAGAGTATAGTCGTGCACTTACATAATGTACAAAATGTATAATGCATGTGCATAACTGCACATAGCACAGATAATTTTGGGCTATGTGTGTTTATTTTATGTTAGTAGCCAGTAGGTGACATGAATGTACATTATGAAACAAAACTATGTTGCAAAATTTATCAGTTTCAGGGGATTGTTTCTCTCAGATAATTTTGAAAATCCAAATCAGAAAAGAAAACAATTACCTAATGCATTTTAAGATAAACCTGTGTGAATATCCACTTGGTTTTCTCAAACTGATTGTAGTTTTCCAGATTTCATCGATGAAAATGTTAAAATGACTGTTTTGGGATTCATAATTGAGAATACATGCATTTTGTAAATCTGCCTTTTTGGTTTGGGTGAATTTATCTCAACAAATTAATAAATGTTTGCAGTGTGATGCGTGGGGGGTGAATTGTTAGTTTTTGCTCGAAGCTTTATTGCATCTTAAATTTACTTTTATTACTACTCAAAAGAGTTGCATATCATAGGCATGCTTTCTACAAATATATTCATTCAAAATTTTCACAGTACATGCATGATGGGATATCTCAAACCCAGGGGAGACAATTTCTTTCAGTAATCCCACCCCCTCCCCCCCAAAAAATAGTCCAAAACATGGCCACAAATGCTTTTGAAAGTATTTTTTTTGTCATAATTAATCGTGAGCAGTCAGATAAAATGAGGGGTGGGGGATGCTTAATTGCTAAGGAAATGATGCTGTGATTTAGCATAGTTGCTCAGTGATACAATGTCATAGACCCATCAAACCGTATCCAGTGCCCCCCCCCCCCCCCACTCCTTGTTGCTGTCGGATGTTGCATGAGGCGTTCTTACAAAATGAGACACAACTGGGCAGAAGTCGAAATGAGGGTTTGCAGATTAGGAAAGAGATATCATTCTCCTTACAACACTGTTTGTTGCACTTCAATTGTACATTCTGTTGACAAGTTATTGCTGTTTAAAATTCACATTTATCAACCTGTCATAAGAGTAAAATACTGAGAAAAAGGCCTTTCAATTTCGAGTTTTGTAGTTGTGAAAATGAAAGATCCCAATTGTTTTCCCGCACATGTAAAAAACACTTTCATTCTACGATTTTTGTACCACTTCCTTAGAATATATGTACATGTAGTAGACATGTATTTATACATGTGTCAAAGATGACAAATATCCATAAATCTGAAAAGCGAAAATGAATCCCCCCCCCCCATTCTGTTTTTATTTTGTTTTTGGCCTGTTTCTCCACTACGTCCTGTGCCCAGTTCCGTCTCGTATTTCCAGAACGCCTGGCATATGCCGGAATAACTCCACATCTACCTGCTTGCACAAAATGCCACGGGGTTATTCGGGGATAAATTGAATTTGATTTCATTGCATGGTATTTGCTTTCGTGTCTTAACAAGACCCCATTTTTTCCCACCCAGTTGCCGCTAGACACCAGGGAAATCGGAGTACCGGTATATGCCGGTATACGCTTTAGGGCTTGCATTTAACGTTACAAATAAACACTGACGGCTACGTGGAGGGTTAGATCCAATTTGGCATGCCGTCTGACAGTCTTACGGTGTACTGTACTCTTTGCGATGTTCGGTAGTTCATCACTTGAACCACATTATTTTCACCTACATGTGTCAATGTCGATGCACGAGCAGCCGGGCAATAAATCCTCCTCTGCTTGCACGATGCACAGCTGTCAAGGCCCCGGAGGCTACGGAAATCAGGAAAGACGCAGGTCATCAATTCCTCCAATTGAGAAAATGGTGGGAGCAGTCATTGACAGGATATGAGGATCCACTGTTTTGTAACCTTGTAATTGAGGTGTGAAATTAAGGCGGCCGGCTTGTCTATGTGTCGGGAAATTATGCGCTTTGTTGGTGTTTTAGCAATGTGAATTCATTCAGATTGATGGATTAAAATTTGAAATTGGATACAGTAATTTAGAACACAATTTCTATGAAACTGAAATGGACTTCATTTTTATTCAATACTCATTTTTTTTTTAAAGATTGATTTTATGTTTTTACTGGTTCATGAAGTTTGAAAACACAGACAGATAAAATTGAAGTAGAGCACTTGAACTTTGAGTTGTTGATTGGTTTTGGTTTAAAGGATGAAAAGGCTGATACATAGATAGCCTGTTATAAATAGATGTCATTAATTTCACACCTCAGAAGATACCAATAAAAATACTTTAATAAAAGGACTTTCAAATTCAAAGTGTTCTTTTTTTAATTTCAGGTAAACAAGGGCTTCTAGATTCAGAACAGCATTCTGATGTTCTTCCCATTCCTGTCTTGTCTTAATGCCAGCATCGTTTCGTTGCCATGGCACTGGTGCTATTCGTCATCGCCATCTTGGCCTATCTGGTCCTCCATCAGATGTACCAGCCCTCGGCCGGCCAACAGCGCCAGCCTAAAGGCAGCCGGAGGCGGGAGAACAAATTCAAGGAGACCAGCATCTTTGAAAAGCTTGGCCTGACGTTCAACCAGTGCCCGACGTTCATGTCGTTCGTCGACCGCTTCAACACCTTCGAGCAGGTGGTGGAAGCCATCAAGATGGCCGGCCTGGAACGCAGCGAGATCATCATCGGGATTGATTTCAGCGCCAGCAACGAGTGGCAAGGCAGGCGGGTTTTTGCTTCCAGATGTCTCCACGATATCATGAACAGCAGAACGTTCAACCCTTACCAGAGGGTTCTGACGATCGTCGGTGCTACCCTGGAGCGATTTGACTCGGATCACCTCATCCCCGTCTACGGCTTCGGCGATGTCGACACCAAGGACAAGTCGGTGTTTTCTCTGAAACCAGACGATGAACCGTGCTATGGTTTCATTGAAGTTTTACAGTGCTACAACCGAGTGTGTCAGGACATTCAGAGAAGCGGCCCAACCAGCTTGGAACCCATCATCAAGAAAGCCATCGAAGTGGTAAAAGAGAAACCAACGTACCACCTTCTCTTGATCCTGACCGACGGTCAGTTGAAAGACAGCGACGGCAACGCCAGTGCCATTATAGAAGCCTCCAATTATCCAATCAGCATCGTGGTCATCGGTATAGGGGACGGTCCCTGGGACGCGATGGAGCACTACGACGATAACCTTCCCAGTAGAAAATTTGACAACTTCCAGTTTGTGAACTTCCACCAGGTCTGCAGCAAGGCCAAGTACGCCGAGGCGGCGTTTGCCCTCCACGTCTTGATGGAGATTCCAGACCAGTACAAGGCGATCTGTGAGCTGGGTTACCTGCGGAATCAGCCCAGTATCGAGAGCTGGGGAATGATCCCTCCGAAGAAAATCAGCCTTGAGGATGACCCGGGCTTTCGCAGGTCGCGCAGCGAGCAGGACGTGATGTCCGTCAATCCCGAAATCGTTCCAGTGTTGAGCAGGAAGTCAAGTAAGAGAATGAAGTCTTCGATGCGATACAAGTCTACAAAACGGTGATTTGGGAGGTAGGGTTTAACATTGGTTAATTGCAAATATGGTTAAGTGCAAAGTAAACATGTTCAGATTATTTCAAGTTTCTCTAAGTTAATGTGATAATGGAATTTACCTCTGGTTTTGTGTGCAGTTTTGCATTTCTGGGGAACAGAATGCTACTACTTTAAACACGACATGAGATAAAATCTTTTTCCTCCTGCGTGGCTGTACAGTAGACTGATGGAAAGCAGTCTGACTCGATAACATCATTGCATAAAAAAAATCCTCGGCATAAATTGAGCACAAATTCACACATTGCCACAAAAAATTCATGACTACGATGTTATTCAGCAGTCATACTTTCCATGTCCATGCAAAAACATGATAATGCCGGTCTGTTCTAGGACCTTAAATATAATTAATGTAAGATACCACAAAATAGCTTATTTGAGCTCTCTTTGATAACATTGTTTGAAAGTGAAGGTAAATTTAAAATTTAAAATGAAAGGTGCTACCAAAATCACACTGTAAACTTACCAAAACTATTTGCCTGTTATGAGCTGATTTGTCAATTCAGAATGGCACCTGCTTATAAATTGGCTTAATTTGTATAATTTGAACGTGCGGCTTAATTTATTTCTGGTGAACAAAAGCCATCGATGCATGTACACTTTAAAATCTGTCCGGCAATTTCCATGAAGCAGAGGTCAATTTTGTCACTTTCAAATTAGAATGTTTAGAAAATTTACAAGATGGAGTGACTTTTCTGGTCATTAAGAGGCACCAAATATGGTAAAAAAAAAAAAAACCTGAAAAATGGCGAAAATAGTTTATGTCAAAAGAATGGCTTCTGTAATTTGTGGGCCACGTGCTGGTTGCATTTTCATTGTGGGTGTCATTTACATACATGTACATGTGAACATGTACATGTACATGTAATCAAGTTACCCTTTGGCAATACAAAAAAATCCTGTAATTTCCTTTTCTAAGAAAACTAATCGTGCATCACCCTAATTTCCAGTCTAAGCATTATTACATAATATGGAGTACACTGCCATCAGTTGTCATATTGATCTCACCGCTTTGAAACCGTTTTGGTTTGACCAGAATCAGCTTAACAGATAAAAGTGTTTATTTTTTTGCCCTGTTGTCTAAGTTAACATGGTTAATAAAGAAAAAAAATGGTTCTTGAAACTAAAAAGATGACACATCGAACCGAAACGTGTACTGCGCAAAGCTACGATTGACGATAAAGCGTGGCCTATTATTTTTTTTACCTCTTCACTTTGGCAGTGTTTAAACAGTAAACCTTGCTGCCGCATTTGCTGGAGGTGCGTGTTTGTACACTAAAGAATGAAACATGCTCTTCAGTCTCCCTTCAAAACAAATAAAGAGCTCTACAAAAACAAATCTTGGACTGGTAATGTCTTTACCCCGGTACCCTCTCCCCAGTCCCTGCAAGGGGTAGGTAGAGGTGGTTGAAATCTAGAGTTCAAGAAAGGAAATAACACATACTGTCCAGGGGGAAAAAATTGGGAATAGATTGCAAAACAGGATATTTTTTTTCCAAGAAGACATAGCAACCACATGTGACCCTCTTGCATAAAAGGAGTTGCAAGTTGAGATACTGGTACATGTACAGTCTATAATACATTGTACATTTTACCTGGGCATATTTTTATAATTTTGAGATTTAAGCGTTCAAAGCTAAAATTATGAATATACTCATATTTCACTTCAAGGAAGTTAATTTGTAAATTTCGTAAAGAGTTCATTTGGGAACTTTAACGACAAATTTCTAAATTGTAAAAACTTTCTGAGGCCCAAAAATTGGGAACTGAAAATACCTACACGACTCCATCAGATTTTGTCCTATTCGCTATACCAAAGCTAAATTCAGTGTCCTTAACAATGAGCCCAAAATCCCAGTTTTCAAAAATTGTTCCAAGTGAGTTGTTATTATGCTGGAGGGTCACAAATGAGAAATGTGATTTTATTTGGGAAAAAGTCGAAACTATTTATAGCACCCTCCTTTTTATGTCTTGTATATTGTTAAATTTTGATGAAGAAGTGAAAAAAAAAATGTTTATTGGAAATTGCAAGTACTGTAAAGGATAAGTTGTTTACTTGACAGCCAGTGTTCACGCTATGTACTTCATACACAGTAGGGCCTACATGTACATGTACATGTAGATGTGAGAATCTTGGAGAGAAGATCTTTATTTGACAGGCCTGCCCCATACAAATATGATACACCCAGACGTACATGCACCGGTACCTATGTACATTCATGAATATTATCCGTATGAGTTGGCAGTGTGAGAGACCCACGCAAAGATATAATCATCTGCGCTCAGCAAGGGGCACGGTTTAGCGATCAATATCAGAAAAGTGAGGATCAATAATATTAATAATTACCATGCACATGGACAGCTGTACATGTATTAATTTACATAGTTCATGTTACTCAGTATGTGAACATTCAATTATGCTCTGAAATGTCATGAACAGTTGTCGTCATGATAAATTTGAAATTATATGGTGTGCTACATATAATGTACAAGTTTGCATACACATGTACATGTACGTGGTCATTCTATACATTCGGGGTCCATGTTTTTCTTGTCGCTGTTATATCTGACATCGACGATTTTATAATTCTGATGCAAGTCAGTCGTACTCCAAGAGTGATTATGAATAGCAAACTACATGTAGGCCTTCCTACGCAACAAATAAAAAATTACATGTAGTTGGAACTCATTCGTATTGACGCTTAACTGGTAAATTACAAAGATTATGGTGATAGGGACGAGAAAATATGTCGCACTTTGGGCCCTAAATTTATAGAATGACCCATGTTTTAGTCAGTCCAGTTTAAAATTTTGAAATCGTCATACTTTGAAAAGCTCCGTCCAAAAAGGAAATGAACGGACACAGAATACAGGCCAAATTGAAAGCTTGTCCTTTAATTTGATAAATCCTCCATGTCTTATGTGCAATTCCCCTTACAGTTTGGCATTGAATTCTTGTTTGTCCAGGCCGCTGTAAGTTCATTCAATTAGAGCCGTGCAGCAATATTGTGTAATTAGGTTGATAGCAAAGGAAGCACGTACATATGTGTACGCAGTGGGTATAATTTCAGTGCATTGTTTTAGCATTAATAATTTACATTTCCTATCATTGGTCAATCTGAAAGTGAAATCTCTGAATTTGGACATTTTTTTTTAAATTTCAAAAATGTGTACGCTTTGGCAAAGTGGACAATAAGCCAGTGTGGTATTTCAACTGTGCATGATATGGGTCAAAGGTCATTCGGGGTAATTGAACGCTCATCGAAGGCACACGAATGCGCAAGGAGACGGTCCCCTGACGCTTGTGCAGGCGTTAATTACGAGCAGAATAAATGTTAGCGTCACATTCGCATTTACAAGACGCTCGATTTGAGTCAGCGTTTCATCCCGAATGACCTTTGATTTTGACCTGGACTACCGGTGCTTCATTGAGATGTACACGCACACGTCAATAAACTTTCATTTTTGATGGGAAGTTTAATTGCATTATGAAAACGAACCAGGGCATAGAAAATGTGGCAATTCAATTACAGTAATTAAATCTTGACAAAATGTGGCAGCAATGAAAAGTCAGAGCAGGAAATGAGCCAGCAATGCAATTATTTTCGTGACGCAACATAAAAAAAAAAAATGAATAATTTGTTTTTCGTACTTATGTGTTTAAATTTATGAATTTCAAAAGTGGAGAAAAAGGTCACAAACCGACGTTGTGTATATTAAAGGGAGAGTGCACTTTTATATACCAGTTCGTGTAATTACATACATGTACATGTACAGCCAATGTGGCAATTAGTAACCACCCTTCACTGGTTACAGAGAGAGTGTTGGGGGGGGGGGGACCAGTGGGGGGGGGGGGGACATTCCAACGCACTGCCGACAACGCCCATGCAAAGAGGCTACGAATTTGTGCAGCTTCATTAGAACAAAAATTAATAGTGTGTACTCATTGAGCATTGAGCAAAACATGTACCTGTAGGCACGCGAACCGTGCATATGCGCATGCTGTGTGTCCTTCCCGCTGCAGGGCATTTGAAAGCGGTCACAATTCGGGACGATTCACAATGCAGTGCGCCACCAAGAGTTTGCCATGGTGAGTCAACTTTTTAAGTTTACGGTCGACAAAATATGGCCCATTTGAATGAGTGTCAGTAGACAACTTGAGCTAATTTGTCATAGATTGGGGCATAGCGTTCTGCCGCCTTACCAAAAATCACCGTATTGATACAAAGAAAAGAAAAGGGCAAACATATACTCGAATCATACGCTTAGTTCTACTGACCGGAAAAAACGAACAGTTTCAAATTTTCCGCGCCGCGAATTTGTCGACCATCTCCCACAATGCACTGGGAAAAATGAACTCTCCATGGCAAACTATTGGTGGCGCTCTGCATTGTGAATCGCCCGAATTAAAGCGCATTTTACTATTTGTGCACGGAGTCCGTTTCCATGGGTCTACATGTTAATGTCTTTCAAAAAAAAATTAAAAAAAATAGCTTGCAACAAAGGCAGGAATAAATAGATCATCTTGCAATAAATCGCAGCATGTCACTCATTGCAAATGATCACAAATAATATTCAATTGAGTGTACTTAACTGTAAAACATGCTGGCCAAATTTGTATAGTTTTGTTTTCTCGGTGAAATGCAATGTCAGTGTTTGTAAATAGTTATCAGTTCTTAAAAACGTCTGCAGCTTATTTGGTACCAAATATATTTCTATAAATCTTTACAAATTATGTACATTATTTAAATTCTAAAAATCCTATTGAAATAAGAAAAGAAATAAGAGCTGTACATGTAACAGAAATTTATTTAAAAATCAAGATACAATTGATTATTTTTTTTTTCCAATTGCAGCTTCTTGATTTTGTACAATGTAGTACACTTTGTCTTAATGTGTTTTTTTATAGCAAAAAGTACTTTAAATTACAAAAACAAAATGTTGGAAAATAGTAATGTGTGCTAATACTTGTTATAATTTCTTTGTATGTATAAATGTTTGTTTAAATTTTCCCTTGAAACTAGCAGGCATTGCTTTATATACCGTTTATGGTCGGAAAATCCTAGTTTCCAAAATGTAGTTTTGTGACTGAATTCGTGATTTCTTATTGAATTATCATTGGACATTTGATTTGTTTTGCTGCATGCTGTGCTTGCTTGTTTGTGAGTTTTGTCCTGTAAAAGTTTGCCTGCTTGCAGTGGCTACTTGTTGGATGACAGCTTTTTTTAATACAGGGTAAGTACAAAAAAACGAAACTCAAATGTCGGGACCATTGTTTTAGTGAAGTTCTGCATGTAGCACTTTCAAAATCTACGGATATGAAAGCCCAATTCATAAGCTTTCTTTTAGTACAAGAATTATTCTAATCACTCATGTACTTTTCAAGTTACGGAGTTTTAAACACAACCGCCATTTTAAGGTTCTGTCACAAAACAGTTCAGTGTTCTTTCAGCAAAACGATAACAAATCACATGAGGATGTGTGTGAATTGTCAAGTTTTGCTGAAAGAACGCACACCTTTTTTGTGATCCATGGACAGAACTTTAAAACGGTGGTTGTGTTTAAACTTGAAAAGTACATGAGTGATTTGAATGATTCTTGTACTAAAAGAAAGCTTATGAATTGGGCTTTCATGTCCTAGATTTCGAAAGTGCTACATGAAGAACTTCACTAAAACAATGGTCCCGACATTTGGGTTTCGTTTTTTTTTTATTCACCCTGTACACTTGTAAATGTGCGAACTTGTTGAGATGACATGTGAACCCATCTTGTAGCCAAGTCCACCGCATCTGAGTATCACAAATCTGAGTCTCAGTCCGTCAAAATCTGGAGTCAAGTCCAGACGCGAGTCCGACATGTACA